TCGAGCGCTGAAAGTTGAATGTTCACAACCCCTTACGGCAGCCCCTCAGTGCACGCACACGCAAAAGACGAGCAAAACTGCGAAATCGGCTACCGGGGGCAACCACCAGCCCCTGCGCGCCGTAGCTTCATTGGTCTCTACATCCATCCCCGTGCCGTTGATATGCGGGCGCTGATAGATATCACAACCGACCGACTGTCCCTCCACAGTACTTGACTTGTTTTTCGGAGACCGTTTTAGATCTTAGTTGTAGCGCCTCTTGGCGTTGCAGCCATGGACGGGAGCAACAGGCAATAAACCATGTTCGCCAGTTGTTTACCAAAACGGCTAGCCCAACGGGCTACCCAAGCGTGTAGTCAGCTGGTTGTCACGCATGTGTACGGTGCGACGAATAGGAATCATCTAATTAGAATTCTGCGGCGCGAGCACTAGATCGCTGTTCTGGTGATGAAGCCTCAATCTCCGGTTCAGGGTCCAGTTTCGCATCGTAGCTCAGGCCGAGGATTTCTTCTACGCTCACAGTTACGTACTTTGGCCCGGGGTTAAAGGTTTCTACAAGCTCCTGCGGGTCCCCCTTTAGAACGCCAATGCGTTTGCTGTAGTACAAGCGCAACCGGAACTGTTCCTTCATCCATCCATCTATCAAGACAGTGCGAGATGCCAGTTCCGTTTCTGACAGATGCTCTTCCCGCAAGGGTGGATCCTCTGCGTCAGCTGCCATCACCTCATCAGCAGAAAGTTGCAACCGGTCGGGTATGGGTTCCCCTTTTTGTTCGTAGAATCTTATTTCCCTTTTCCGTCTCTGCTCCCAAAGCCGCTTATCTGTTTCCTGACGTAACTCAACGAACAGTTCCGGAACCTGCAGAACCGGCGGAGGACGGCGAAGCACCGAGTACGCCTGCTGTAGCAACTGAGGGTTGTCCTTCACCTTCTTTGGGCCGCTCAGCACATCGCGATATATCTTCTCGTTCAAACACTCCAACGCCCCCTGATACTTCGGCCTGCACTCGGAACGGACGAAACAAACACCGGAAAGAGCTTAGCAAAATCATCTCACATGCAGGCCCCGACAACAACAGATTTTTCTCGCCGAAGTAACAACTTCAAGCAGATGGAGATATACACACGCAGCTGTATTCCTGTAGTCTGCGAGGCGCTACCCTATATATATATATATATATATATATATATATATATATATATATATATATATATATATATATATAT